ATATGTGTCCATCTCCTAGTTGCACCATGCTAGTTTTTTTGGGAAAAAATCAAAAAATCATTTCTTGGTTGAGCTTTCCCAATTGAGGCCTTGGAAACTGACTTGAGAGAGCCACTAGATAACCAAAAATGACCGGATAAAATGTACAAAAGGCACAAAAATAAGAAATTTAACTATCGGAAAAATAACAAAAAATCAATTTGAAAAATAAAAATTGATAAGGATAGTGTTGTTGGATACTAAATTGGTTGGATACTATTACATAGGTCTTTATCTTTAGTCGAATGTTCAAGAAAAAAACGAGAAGGCGGAGTATGTATATATGTCGAGGAAGATGTCAAATTCGAAGTACTCAAAAATTAAACATTAAGAATCTACAAATTCTAAGGATTCGAATTGTGACAAAACGTTGAAAAAATCTCATACTATTGTGTGTCTAGATACCACACAGCGTAGTTAACTGTGACAGTCGGTCATAATGAAAGATGTTTTCGTTTTGGATTTGATTTTTTAAAATTCGAATCGAACCAGTCATGCCTGATTTCTCGTCAAAATTGAAAATCCGAAATTAAACACAACATCCGAAAAGTCTGGGAGTGTCTACATTCACTCCAGCTCTATTGCTAATCGCGAAAGTAGTTTTTCACGAGAGTAGTGTTGTCTGCTTTCGACAACATCAAGAGTGGCTTCGGTGAGCAAGAAATTAAAAAGAGCAAGGAATTTATCTGAACTTAGAGTGCAATTTCACTGGGGATCCTTCCCAGTGGACTGACATTGTGATCCTAACTCATACTAATTATTACAAAACTTATTGAGATATTAAGTTATCTTGATCTTGATTGAACTTCGTGCTAGAGTTAATCCCAGAGCTTGCTTTTCATGTCTTAACTTACTGATTTTAATTACCAGAGAATGTTTTACGTGATTATGAGATGAGATGAGTTTAATAATTGATCTATTTGATTAGATCCAACACACACTGTCAAATAAAAAGTTTTAAACAACAAGTTCTCGACCATGTTTTTAACGGCTTGGTTAAAGTATATGGAGATTTTGAATTCCACGTCTAGTTTAACCGTTAATTGGCTCGGACCGGTTGAGATAGAAAATCACAAAAAATAGTACGAATTTGAACAAATTGAAGTGATCATTGCATTTGTGAAGCAAATGTCTTGTAATCGGAAACGTGCAATGTATGTCCTGTGATCTGACTTACAGGTGCCTTTCGTCTTAATCTAGAAGTAACGCATTTTACATTGCACCCAAAGATCTGAGATATGAGTCCCTTCCGGTACGTGTTTATCAGTACATCAAAAACATAGCCAACTGACAGTTGGAAAAAAGTAATGAACGCAATGAAACTGAAACAAAAACTGACTTCATTTTTTGAATTTCGGGGCAAAAAATAAATGGTCTTAAAGCTCACGGAATTTGTAGAAAAACTTATGATGACCATTTTTTGGCTAAATTTTACCCAATTAGAGAAAACTGGATCAATAGGCAAAACTTATTTCACTGGGATATCTGATAAATAATTTCCTTTTTTGAAATTACAAGTCGATCACGCTTTTCATGATTTTTACATTTTTGCTGTTCGATAGTGGATGTTGCCTTCATTTTAACAAAGGAAATGCACTGAATTTATTAAAAAAATTGCAAGTCAAACCACAAAAAATCCAAATTGAGAGTGAACAAGTTGTAAGACTTTTTCCCTGAAAAAAAAAAACAAAAAAAATCAGCAAGACCTATATAAGAGTCCTCACTACGTTTATTACTTTTAACAAAAATTTTTTCGGAAAAAAAGTGAATAGTCGGCTTTCGTTTGTCTGCTACCGTTTGACGGCCTAGTTTCCAAATCTTTTGCTTTTGAATTTTCTTGTGGTTTAAGCAATTTTCTCTTTAGTTTCAAGTGTTTTTGATTTAGTCCTGTGTTTTGTAAATTAACCGACACTGAAAGTATATATATACTGTAAACATATATATACCGTAAACAACTTTGTCCATAGAATCACTAATAGCGGATCTCCACTTCTTAAGAAGGATCTTCTTTTTCTTCGCTTCTTTCACTACTGTCTTTTCAGCAAAATTTCGCTATTTTATTAATTCGGGATTTTTTTCCTTGTTTCTGTCGGTTCATTTTCTGGTTTTGAAACGCCAATTTTAAAAATCTGGGCGGACTTTTTTTCAGTTTTTCGAAGCGTTGCTTTTTTCCAATTTAAACAGTTTTTTACTATTACTGAAACTTCACAATTTGTAAATTTACTAGTTTACGTTCTATCACTTATTCAATTTATTTTGGGTATGGTATCTGTGTGGTATTATGTATTTCAGTATGTATGGGTCGTAGAAAGTTTGAAATTTTTTGAAATTTTTCAAAATAACCGTTTGTTTTCGGCTCAACAGGTGTCGCATTTTTTGTCGCTTGGTATTTGGTTTCCATTTTAAGGGCTGTTTTTTAATTTGATCTGAATTTTACCCAAAGTTCCGACGTGTCGCATTTTTTGTCGCTTGGTATATGGTTTCTATTTTAAGGGCTGTTTTTGAATTTTATCTGATACAAATATTAATGAAGTTTTTGCAGCTGTAATTTTTCAACTTTGTCAAGTTACTTTTGTTTTTGGATTCAGATAAACTTAATATACGCTCAAAAATATATCAGTAAGCGGCCAAGTAAAATTTGTAAAAAGTTTTTTTTAAATTGATTGTTAGTCTGCTTATGCTATAAATAATTTGGTTCTGTTAGTCGTAGTTTTTCGAAAAAAACTGATCTGATTGGTAGTGTGTTATTGCGCTTAGCAAGCGTTACCGAACTGGAATATAGACTTTTTTCGGGTTAACAACTTGTTTAACAGAGTAACAGGTATCTTGGTTCATAATGAAATCAAACTTTTATGCATTCCCTGCCAACTGATCCTGGAGGTAACGAATATGTCTGGGACGGCAAAGTTCCTGGCCACAAATCTGACTTGGACTTTTTACATTTTTTTTTCAAACTGGATTAATTCTATTTCAAATAAAATTGTCGACCTATAATTTGTCGGCTTAGTTGTCACATCTTGAAATCGAATTTTTAAAATGTTTTATTGCGACAAAATTTTTTCAAGTATCTTTCTTTTTCAAATATTTTTCTCCAATTAGTTTTTTCTGTCTCAATTGTTATTCACTACCGTTCAATGCTAAGCTTGCAAGTGTTGTGAAGCTCTGCTACGCTTCTGTATTTAAAATAGTATCAAACGCAATAAGCAGCACAATTAATATCTGAACCCTTTTTCTTTTTTCAAAAACTCTTAAGATTATTTTCTAACGGAAATCAATAGTAGCAGGGATTAATTGAGTTTCACAAATCTTACTTCATTAAGGGTATGTTTTTCATTATTTTTCATATGCTTTTCCTTACAAGAAACTAAGTTTACAATACCAAAAATTGCAAAAACTTACTTTTTGAAGTTCCTTGCTGCAACAATACAACGAAAAGTCAGCTGATTTGGCTCAGATGTTCGAAGTTTTTAATTTTATAGCGAAACCTGTTTGCTTCTTGAAATTATTAAACTTTAAAAAAGAAGTGCATGCTTTTTGCATAAGAAACCTGCGACATGATATAAATATGATTTTCTCTGCGTGATTCAAGTATGAATGTTCTGATGCGGAATGCAGCTACTCGAACTGTTTTTTTCCCGAAGATCAGGCAGTCTTCGGAAATTACAGTGTATACGAATCAAGTTTGAATATGGGATTACAGCGTTCCCGGGTTGACCAAAAATGCTTATCTTACAATTTCCATATATGAAAAAATGCTTGTCCTACAATTTCCTTCTGTTTCATAGACTCAGAAAATTGTTTAAAAAACTCTAGGATAAGCATTTTTTCATATAGGGAAATTGTAGGACAAACATTTTTTCATTTATCGAAATTGTAGGATAAACATTTTTTTAGCTTCAAACTAAATTTTCGTTTTTGATGAGCAAGGTGCTTTAAATTGAGCAAAAGCAATCTTAATTAATTTAAATTTGATTTTTCATAGTTTTTCATCACCAGACTGTTTTATTTGGTTCAAATAGCCGGAGAAACTAGATTGAATCTTTTTTCAATGGTTTTTTGAAATTTGTATGATTAGCTTTTTTCCATACATTTGATGTAGGCAATAGTATGATAAGCATTTTCGGTTTATGGAGGTCAACCCGGCTTGGTTTCCTGTCTTGTATCAATAGAATCAAGTTATATTTTGGGATATTTGAAAACTTGAAAAGGGGCCGCTATGTTGGCTTATTTTCTAACGAAATTACAATGTCCCTTTTATGACTGGAATAGGCAAAATATTAAATTGGACTGAAAAAAATTCTGTTTCCTACCATTTTTTCCCAATAATTTCTAATTTTAACACTGATGCTTGCATGTTCATTAAGTTCACGTCACTGCGGTGTTCACGTCACGATGGTGTTTTCATTAAAGCCTTAACACAGCATCCATTTACGTTCAATTCATTTTACATCGCGTCACAGACTACCTACAAAGGCATATTTTCATCGACTGTCACTTGAGTATAAAATCAGAACTTCCAATCTAATGATGTACTGTTTCCTTTGGCATGAAAAGTTCAAGTTCAAAGTTATTTCGAAAATTGTGGAATGTATATCAATTTGGGTGTGCAAAAATATCGTATCTGAATCGAAATGGCATATTTCATTAGCATCTCTCCAATACATCATTTCTCATCGTATATCCATAAAATGTGAATTGCTTTTTGGGTACAGTTCGCTTTTAAGAGAAATGAGTTAAGATTTCGCAACTTCTGATGGCTAAAAACGGAACACTTCAAAATGGTGATCAATTAGTTCTATTATTGCCTGGCTGGTAAGTTTTTATTGTTTGTCAACCAGCCCAAATCTGTTTCGTTGAATTGATTGTCTTTCGATGAAGGAAATAGCCTCATTATTCACAAAATTGATCACAACTTGTTTCTTCTGAACAATTTCAGGCTGCAAACATTCAGAACAAAAAAATTAAAATAATAGTTTATTCCGCAAATTAAAAAAAGTGTCAGAGAAACTAGCAGAATTCATTACAATACCGTATGCAAAGAAAGATCTTTTGTGCATTTATTATCACTTTACACTTTTACTTGACATCATCAAATGGGCTGCTGCATCAACTAGCACGCGTACTTGATCGTAATTAATCGTTCTTATTCGCTGATAAGATATGGATAGACTCGCCAGAAGCGATTTTCGATTTTTTTAAATTATGTGAATTGCTGCAGCTGCTAATGAAGCAGCCCATTGCGTTTCACAAATTACTAGAGTGTGTCAGTTGTTGTTGTTTTTGGGGAATGTATTGGATGTTGTTTTTGTTGGTACAGCGACAGGTTAGGTAGCTCCTCTCCTGTCGTGGCCAGTCGTTACTTCATCTTCGCTCATCTCATCTTGTCTACTTGTTCTTGTTTAGATCCGACTTGAAATCATTGTAGTCCATGTCAGCCTTGTCGTTAACCTGAAGATGGCATCCAACGTATTAAGCTGCTACCGCGAGCACAAACATGTATTTAATGACATTATTTAACGCCCATTTGCAACAACTTAAATCGTGTTATTTTTTTTAAAGTAGAGCTTAGGCATTTTCGTCAGTCATTGTAAAATATGCAAATTGGAAGACAAATAACAAGAAAATAATCAAAATAACATATATTTTTTTTATTTAAAATTTTTTTAAATTGAAGTTGTCGATTCCTAAGATGAAGCTAAAAACTCCAAAAACTAACTTGATTTGAGTAAAACAAAATTTTCAAGGCTTAAATTAAGCATAAATAAGCTAATGTAAGACTGCTTACTAATTCGAAATAAGACGAAAAATCAAAAATTTCAAACCGGTTTTGCTCGACACTGGGAAATTTTGTTAAACATTTTTTTAATGTCGTTCGAATCACGACTGAAAGGGCTTTAATATGATAGATTATTCAACCCAGTCCGATGATGACTTGCGGTCGCCGATTTTACGTGGAAAAAACTGAAACACACTGGAATACAAAGTTCCTCCCCATTTTCAATGGTCGGAACAAAAACTAACATTAACCCAAGTTTCCAACTATCATTTGAGATTCTGAAAACATTTCATGGTTTAGTCGTCTTACACAAACACACAAATAAATACACAGCCAAATTGGGTTATCCAGTAGCAGGCACCGTTTTTAACACTACATTGAGTTTACATCATCGCGCTCAAAATTAGTGTACGATCGTTGCTAAAACGGCTTTGAAAACTTCAAAGGAAAACGGTTTTGAAAACTCCGGCCAATGCAGAACTAGTTTCTTCAAAAGCTTCATTTTTCATCCAAGGTACAAAGAGTAAGGTCAAAATGGAGAACACCAGGAAAAGATTAATTTTGAATTACTGCAGAGAAAACTAATAAAAACACTTCAAAAAAATTTATATTGCTAAAAAAATTTCATTGACGCTAATAGTTTTTTTTGACTTTTTCAAACAATTTCATTTTACTTATATTTTTTTATTGGACATCACTGGTCTGATACCAAATAAACGTGCATCTGACAAACTCAAACCAAGCAAGGAATCATAAGTAAAAGGTGAGAAAAAAGGAGTTCTGGAAATTCCTTTAATCAGATAATATCATGAATTCAAATTATTTGATGATGGCAAGAGTAAAAATTTCAACTTGAGAAAAAAACAATCGTACCAAAATCTTATCTCACAAACTTTTTTATTATTTGTTGACTTGAAGTAATTTGAAAAATCATCATAATTTTTTGCCCTCCATGATACAAAATATGTTAACTTAATTGAACATTAACCGAAACTATTTAGTCTGAATGAAGCTAAGTCAAGGATAGTAAAAATACAAACCACTAGGAGTAAGTATATCAAAAATACCAAACGCTAAAATAAAAATTTCTTAGAGCTTAAGAAAATCAAAATCTGTGATGTGGCAACAAGGCCGACAAAACATAAGCAGACATACGGAAGTCCGACTTTTCCATTTCCCGGGAACAATTTTTCAATTTCACTAAGCTGAACAAAATAAGGGACTCGAATCCTAGACCTTCGGGGGAAAAGCAACCGCGTTGCTACCTACCTAGACTACGTGGGAAGTAGCCTGGAAATTGTTTTAGCTCATTAATAGCTCAAGTTCAATTTCTTTCAGATTTGTAAGAAACCTTGTTTACAGAAAAAGGTCTAACTCCCCATCACAGGACACTTGCTCTCGTTAGTTAATAAATCAAACCATCAAAAAATTAAATAACTTCCGCGACCAGCTTACAAAAAAAATTGATGAGCGAGTTTTATATTTCAATCCACCGAAGAAAAAAATTAGCGTTGAAAATTTTAACTGCTGAAAAAATAACAAAAACAAAAATTTTTAACATAAGCGCGTTTTAAAATAAAAACAGCTAGTTCTGAAAATCTCCATACCTGGAACTCTGCGCCGCACTCGAGTTTCTTCTTGAGGACGGTGTTGGTGGATGCATATGTCATCCTCTTCTTCACTGGGGCGTTGTCTGAACACCAGAACATGTAGCCGATCTTGTCGGTGGGTGTGCCGTCAGGACGGGTGAATCGGAAGTCGAACACGATGAATCGCGGCTCCGCGTCTACTAGTTGCTCCTGTAAAGCAGCAAGACGATAATGAAACACTACAAATCACAAAACTTAATCAGAAATGAAGAAAATATTAAAAGAAATGCTTCGAATTCAAATATACTCAACGTACTCCTCGAAAGCAGGGATTCTTAATTCAAATTTTTAATGTCGACTAAATTGGCTGGCCTTCCTAGCTCTCCCAAACAGTTACAGCCGCCTTCAGAAGAGCTAATTTTAGTTCCCATTAAATGGACGTAATAGGTGTCCTTGAGAGGCTGGGAAGGGTAAGTGGGAGAGCTCTCAGATCATTCCACTAATGCAGTGGTGCCTCTACCACTTTTACAAGTCCACTACTTCAATGTTCCCTGACTGTTCTGAGCACGCAAAAAGAAATTTATATTCGAGCAGCTTTTCTTTCACGCAAAAATAGGCGCCATAGAGGGGAGGGGGGGGGGGGGGGGCTATTAGCCTAATGGAGGGACCGAACAATAGAAAACTTTCACACAATCAGAACTCTCAGTAACCGCATTCGCTGAGCTCTTCATGCAGAAAATCGAAAGCAAAGTTAACAGAGTGAATTATTACACTTGCAATTGGCCGGTGGTAAGCGCGCTTTGCACGTGTCGGCGCCTCGCTCTGATGACCACCAGGAATTTACGTAAACAGTTTTGCGTCTTCTTTTTAGCCCGCTCGCAAGACTTATCAGCCTGAGTGCATTATCTGCTGATTTTGTATTCGATTAATATTCAAATTAATGTCCTGAAATAATTTGCTTTCTTTCACATAATCGCAATTTCTTTCAGACTTTGAATAGTCTCCTCTGATTGGCTGACAATCGTTTATCCGTCACCGGTCCTTCTATTATACGTCTATTATACGACGGTTATTGTCACCACTGCGGCACGTCGTACAAAATGACGTCGTAGAGTAATTCATAATTTTGAGTCAGTATTTCAGACGTGATGCGAGAAGCAATGAAAGAATTCGAAAACTATAAAATGTCATGAATCAACAACAAAATAGAACATTTCTGTTTATCAGACCAATTTTCAGCGAGTTGCAATTCACTCTTCACTGCCACATCTCAAAGAAGAGATTTGAAAATTTTCTGACACGTTAACTAAGCGCCTCAAAGCTCCCCTACCCCATCCAAACGTTTTTCAAATTTATTCTTTGCAAAATTACTTATGCACTACCTCTGTTCGCTTATATGTTAGGCTCAGCCTCCACCAAAACAGCAATGCTCATTGATAACCACCTCTCAAATCAATAACAATTTTTAATATCATAAATCAACCAAATCATCATTTAGGACATTTTTATTTTTCGACATGTTTTTGTACAGTCCAACCCCTTCTGGCCACGAGTAGGCACTGAGAAGTTTTGGTGAGAATGGTTGATATTAAAACTGCGGTTGAAATGCATTATTTATATATTTTTGAACTAGTTGAAGAGACCTTGAGGAAGTCAAGGTGAGTCCTGTTGAGCTGCTCGTCGTCCGACTTCTTGTCCACCTTGGGCACTAGGGCATTCAACTCCGAGTCCATCAAAATCTCCTTCAGATCATCACTCAGTTTGAACACCATACACACCGGGTTCTCCGCCGCACTCTTCATCTTGAAGTCATTGTACTCCTTAATGATGTCATGGCTCACTCCAATTCCACTGGACATTTTGGATCTACTCGGTCTAGATTGTTGTAGGTTCTAGAGGTTAATTAAGTTGCAGCTGCTCTGTAGTGTCGTTCTTGTTGGTTAGCAACGATTGCACCAAAACACCTGAAAAAGCAAACCACACTGACATCGAATGTCACCGATAAAAAACTCAGATGTTAAGCCTGCTGTGCCTATAATAGTATAGGTAATCAATTGAATACTCTTAACATAAAATCACAGATTAAGGCCAAATAAATGAGCGCTTTATGAGACTATCGTCAGTTCATACAGATGCTCAGAACTACAGCCGATAAGTTCGAGATTTTTCGGAAGATATCATCCCGGAGCGCATTCCAATAGCTGAATCATGCTTACAATCTGAGATTTGATTCTTAAAAACGTCACTAAAAATGGACAAAATAGGCTGAATTTGCTTACGGCAGAATGGGATCGGATGTGAAGTTTCTCTGGGCAAACTTAGTTCGCAAGTTGTTTTATAATATGTCTAACTATTATATCTACTAGTATTACTAACTTTTGATGCCAATGTGATGTGATCTGCAGCGCGTTTTAGCCGTTGGAAGTTTAAATTGAGCCAGTCAACTAGACTTATTTGCTCTCGAAAAGCAAGCACGGAGCAAATGCTTAGTTTGGATGTGAATGTCTCAACAATTTCTATGTCTACTTGTTGTGTGTACCAGGCAGGCGCTTTCGATTCCAACCAAGGCAATGATTCTAATTCTACTCTAATCCAAAGCAGCAGTTTAATTTTATAACAACGCAAAAATCAGATGTCACCAAGTTTGCATTCAAATGTACTTCTACTGAATACAGCAAGCGCAAATATGACCAAATCGCAAGTGATCAAATTATGGTTCTAATTCTGTTTTTGAATCAGAACAGTGGTCAATTTAAACAATGTACTAGTACTGACTTGGCTGAATAAATTATAAATAAAAACTGTGATCCGTTCAATAGTGTGTTTATTCATCTGCAAATGTTCCTAAAACACTGCTGTGCCGTCATTGTAAATAAACACTTACATGACAAGAAGTTTCGTGTCTGTCTGTCTATTAAGATGAAACAGGTTTAATCAAATTTAAAACTATTAATGAAATTTAAAACTTTTAATGACTTCCTCTTAAGTAAAACTTATAAACTAAAAACAAAAAATCGATCTTGCCATACATGCATACCAACTATGCTTCTGTACATGGACAGCCTGCCGCAAAAAAGTCTCAGTCTCAGTCTTTTTGACAACTACCTATCCATTATTCCTAAATGGGGAAATTATTTTCTATTTAAAACCCCTTCATATGAAATTTAAAAGCGCAGACTAGTGACTAAGTGCCGTTTATTGGGCAGGGGGTTTAAAGGTATCACCGCACTGCTCCTTTATTCGGAAAACATCTACAAAAAAAAGTTCAAAAAAAGTACCGTCGACCTACCTCATCTAGTGCTATATTTTATGCGTGAATAAACCAGCTGAATTACAAGCCAGTCGAAACTGCACAGACTATATGAACCAGCCGAAAAAATAAGTAACGAAGTATGTGAGCCAACCGTATCAAAACTGTTACGTAATTATTACATAACTTTATGTAAGAGTTACGTATTGTGGCTGGTTTTAACTTCGGCCTATTTTTTACATACCGTCACACTTTGTACAGGCGAAGCTGCATTTCGCACGCAAAATCGAAACTCGGCAAAAAAGAGCTTTAAATTATTAGAAAAGGCTTTTCATTTAAATCAGCATAGAGAAAAAACATTGTTGTCAGCAGTGAATTGATCCTCAACATGCGGTTGCACTTTTGACCTTTTACCACTCCAGTATGGATGACAAGAACTTCGGAAAGCAAAAAAGACAGCTCCAATAAAACGGAACTAAGACGTAATTTTTTTGCACAAAATTAGCTTTTGGGCTAACAAACTAGCGAAGGGCTATCAAAATCTATTGCTTGAAACAAAACTTCACAAATACAAGAAGAGTATATAATCCCATTACATATCAAAACATTTACACAGAGGGAAAGCTGAGCTTCGCACCACTTGCAATACAAATTTGATTAAAATCAAACGGAAAAATTGGAGAAAAAAAATCAAACAATCGTTTTTGTCAATTAACAAAGCTGTCTCAAGCAGTTGTATCACCTCTACGCCAGATGGTTGGTTGATTGAATTTGAAATTATAATTACCATGCGGAAACAAAGCCGAAAATGCCTGAGCAGAAGAAACCTTTCATGCCAAAAAATTCAAAAAAGTTCCAAACTAATAAAAAAAATTATGTCCTTTCTCCCCTCAGAGCAAACGCACACCGAACGACGCTATAAGAGGCCACCGGGTCAATATAAATTAATCGAAAACTTATTAACCCGAGAAAGACAAAAACTGAAAAAAAGACATCTTGACAAATCGAGTCGGTAAACCAGTATTAAAAACAATTTTCGGCCGGATTTTTAAAATGCTAAAACACTTAAAGAAACTACAGTGAATTGTTTACAGCAAAAAAAAGGTACTTAGATCTGGCAAATAAGCCGACATAACATAAGCAATCATACTACGGTACCACGAGTCCAGATGAATCCTGTGGACAAAATTGTTTACGGGAAAAAAGTCAAGTTCCCGATTGCAATACCCTTGCTTTAAAATAAAAAAAAAACGTTTATCGAATGTCATAAAACATTTATGAAATGTATAAATTATACAATTGCCTCATAAGCAAAACTGATTTGCACTTACGAAAGCTCGAACGAAAGCAATTGTAGCCAGTAGACGACCTTCAGACACGATAACAAATAACAAAACAATTTTGTCTAACACACATAATGGTAGTTTTAAATTCATTTTTTTCTGGTCACGTCTAATTTGATGGTCGTATACTTTCCTATATCCGCCCACTAAATAATTGGGGATCTATCAGCCAAAAGTCACAGAACAACTAGGCAAATATATACCGGACAGAAATAATGACGCTTTAAATTATGGGGCAGTACAAAAGTGTCGAAGTACAAAAGTGCCAAAAATATTGCTCAACAGTACCGAAAGTTATTTTAAATACTGTTTTTACTCATCCGTAATCACTGAAAAAAAAATTTAATTCAAACTTGAACAAACAAAAATTTTATGAAAAAGCTTAATTCAGCAAATTCGATGGGGGCAAACTAATTGGTCTTATTAATTCCATAAACGATACTTAATATTCAGAGTTTGTCAATATTTCATTAATCAAAAAATATTCGAGACCAATTTATGAACAGTCGCATCATTCAGGGCTTTGCCCTGATACGAGCAGTCTTGTTTAGTTTAGCTGCAAACTGTAAAATTTGACAAAGAGCCGACAAAGAAAAAGCACGCAACATTAAAACGCAACTTGAACTAATGAAAAACTTGAGCCTGCAAAAGATTGCAACTTTTTGATACCTCACAAGCTATGTATCGCACAAAATGGTATGTTGCTTGTCTAATAGCTTCCTTCAATTAACTTTTGAATGCTTTCTAAACTGGTTTGATTTGTCGGCTACGCTATGCTCAAAAGAAAACCGGTGAACAAAGAGAATTAATTATCCCAAATTAGCAACTTCCAAACCCCAATAACTTTGCAAAAAATCACAGCTGAAAATTCTTTTCATTCCGAGCCCAGGACAATAATATCTTTCAGAGGGTACCAAAAATAACAGACTGTTTTAATATTCTCTGCATTGATGGTACCTTAACGCTGGATGATTTGCATATACTATAAAAACCAACACAGAAATTTAACTCATGACTCTTTGACTTTAATTGAAAAACATATAACACGCATTTGCTTGAAATTAAGTTCCTGAGGGAACGGTACTTGAAAACATGGCTTGTCAAATACCGTTTTTGACTTAAAATCAAATTGTCTGGGCTCAAACAATCACTGTACGGGTGACTACCTTGTTAAATCTAACGTCCACTTGTAATCATGTTACATGGTATACGTGCGGGCAAGCAGATCCGGTCCAGGAGCAGATAAAATGAGAGATAGAAAATATCTCGAAATTATATGCAAATTTTTATGCTGGCGTGGTGTTGTAAACTGTATAAAAGACTAGGCTACCTTCTATCTATAATTTAATCAGTTATCCTAGTATTCTGTTAGCAATTGAAGAAAACTTATACGAATTGCGAAAATCCCCCCGCGCTACCTTTAGAGAAAACTCCTTGTTCATGACCTGAATAAAAAAATGTGCAATAGAGTTATATGCATCAATTTGGCATCAAAAGCAAAAACAAATGCCAGCCAATTTCTTTGCTAATATTAACTTTAAAAGGATTTACTTGCAATATTACAAAGACAACCAAGCGTTTCTCAATAAACGCAAACGTTACTCAAAATTTGCTATTCGACCGTTCTGCGGATAAAGCAGTCTTTTCGTGTCGAGACATCCCTGTTCGATTATCAATCGAAAACAACCTAAAAACGGTTTCTGCGACGTTCTAGCAATAAAAACGCAAATGATCCAGTTTCGGACAAATAAATTGCCTGCAACTAAAACATGGAAGCAAATATTGCGCTCCTAAAGGTAAGCGATTTGAAGTTTTGCATTTTAATAAGCTTTCAAAACCAATTTATTTCCGCTTTGAAACTACACCCTTTAGGTGTTATTTATGACACCGTGAAACTATTTTGAGGCAATCGAATAAGAAAAAACAACGCTTCGCTGCTTTGATGGCTTTGAAATATGTTCGTATTGTTCAAGTTCATTGTACATATCAACTAGATAGCAGACTAGCGAGAAAATGCTCTTACACAATAAAACATTGGCTCTCGGCCATCAAGTTGCGGATAAGAAAATATGGTTTTTATAATTACCTTTATTTCAATGCCAGTTTTGGAAACTCAACCAAGCCGTTTACTCCTAATAATTCCCTATTTATTCAAGTAACTAGAAAAAATTCACGGTTTTATAAAGTTCGCCAATTCTGTCATCATATCGAGTAAAATATAAGGACAAGACAAGGATAGAGGTTGGAAGTGTCCAGTTTTTCATGGATCGTCTGCGTTTGAGTCCGAGCACTTAAAATACGGGTAGGCGGTGAGGTTGCAAACGGTAAGTCAAGGGCTACGCAAGCGGGTTCCGGATTCCTAAATATGTTGTTATAAATCCAGACAAACCAAGTGCGTTCAAGCGGCGAAGCCAGCAGGAGAACATAGAGTCCATTTCTCAAGGTGACCCGAATTCACAACTCGTTAAGAACTGCTAACTGGGTTTAGGAAATTAGACGACAAGCAAATTAGACCATCAGAAAATAGCGGAATTTAGACAATAACTTGCGTGCAAATTGCGTGAATACTGGTTGTCCGTAAACTCCGTTTTTTACGGTCGTCTAATTTCTTGTCTAATTTCCTAGGCCCCACTGGTAACATATTAGTATGGTTGCGTGGTTGCAAGTAGTTGTGTTTGTAACCTGCTGTCGCGCCAAAGGGCTCTTATCTTAACTCCGATCTGTATATAGCCCTGCTTGAGCCAGTTATGGGCAGACAAATAAGTTAATATTCCACTAGCGAAGGGCTATCAAAATCTATTGCTTGAAACAAAACTTCACAAATACAAGAAGAGTATATAATCCCATTACATATCAAAACATTTACACAGAGGGAAAGCTGAGCTTCGCACCACTTGCAATACAAATTTGATTAAAATCAAACGGAAAAATTGGAGAAAAAAAATCAAACAATCGTTTTTGTCAATTAACAAAGCTGTCTCAAGCAGTTGTGTCACCTCTACGCCAGATGGTTGGTTGATTGAATTTGAAATTATAATTACCATGCGGAAACAAAGCCGAAAATGCCTGAGCAGAAGAAACCTTTCATGCCAAAAAATTCAAAAAAAGTTCCAAACTAATAAAAAAAATTATGTCCTTTCTCCCCTCAGAGCAAACGCACACCGAACGACGCTATAAGAGGCCACCGGGTCAATATAAATTAATCGAAAACTTATTAACCCGAGAAAGACAAAAACTGAAAAAAAGACATCTTGACAAATCGAGTCGGTAAACCAGTATTAAAAACAATTTTCGGCCGGATTTTTAAAATGCTAAAACACTTAAAGAAACTACAGTGAATTGTTTACAGCAAAAAAAAGGTACTTAGATCTGGCAAATAAGCCGACATAACATAAGCAATCATACTACGGTACCACGAGTCCAGATGAATCCTGTGGACAAAATTGTTTACGGGAAAAAAGTCAAGTTCCCGATTGCAATACCCTTGCTTTAAAATAAAAAAAAAACGTTTATCGAATGTCATAAAACATTTATGAAATGTATAAATTATACAATTGCCTCATAAGCAAAACTGATTTGCACTTACGAAAGCTCGAACGAAAGCAATTGTAGCCAGTAGACGACCTTCAGACACGATAACAAATAACAAAACAATTTTGTCTAACACATAATTGTAGTTTTAAATTCATTTTTTTCTGGTCACGTCTAATTTGATGGTCGTATACTTTCCTATATCCGCCCACTAAATAATTGGGGATCTATCAACCAAAAGTCACAGAACAACTAGGCAAATATATACCGGACAGAAATAATGACGCTTTAAATTATGGGGCAGTACAAAAGTGTCGAAGTACAAAAGTGCCAAAAATATTGCTCAACAGTACCGAAAGTTATTTTAAATACTGTTTTTACTCATCCGTAATCACTGAAAAAAAAATTTAATTCAAACTTGAACAAACAAAAATTTTATGAAAAAGCTTAATTCAGCAAATTCGATGGGGGCAAACTAATTGGTCTTATTAATTCCATAAACGATACTTAATATTCAGAGTTTGTCAATATTTCATTAATCAAAAAATATTCGAGACCAATTTATGAACAGTCGCAACATTCAGGGCTTTGCCCTGATACGAGCAGTCTTGTTTAGTTTAGCTGCAAACTGTAAAATTTGACAAAGAGCCGACAAAGAAAAAGCACGCAACATTAAAACGCAACTTGAACTAATGAAAAACTTGAGCCTGCAAAAGATTGCAACTTTTTGATACCTCACAAGCTATGTATCGCACAAAATGGTATGTTGCTTGTCTAATAGCTTCCTTCAATTAACTTTTGAATGCTTTCTAAACTGGTTTGATTTGTCGCCTACGCTATGCTCAAAAGAAAACCGGTGAACAAAGAGAATTAATTATCCCAAATTAGCAACTTCCAAACCCCAATAACTTTGCAAAAAATCACAGCTGAAAATTCTTTTCATTCCGAGCCCAGGACAATAATATCTTTCAGAGGGTACCAAAAATAACAGACTGTTTTAATATTCTCTGCATTGATGGTACCTTAACGCTGGATGATTTGCATATACTATAAAAACCAACACAGAAATTTAACTCATGACTCTTTGACTTTAGTTGAAAAACATATAACACGCATTTGCTTGAAATTAAGTTCCTGAGGGCACGGTACTTGAAAACAAGGCTTGTCAAATACCGTTTTTGACTTAAAATCAAATTGTCTGGGCTCAAACAAACAAAACTAACCGGTAGCTGGGCGGTAAGCTCTAAATTATTACCACACCTGAGTTCATTTAATAAAATAAAAAATAATTAGATTTATATTCTAACTTTTTTCAATAAGCATGTTTTCCATTGTTTTCTCGATATGGCGAGAATGAAAATCAGAAAAATCAATGAAAATCAGAAAAAGCAAAATAATATAGGTAGATCAATCTTTTGCATCCGATCCGTAACTATTAAATTGAAACTTTATGCCACATTGGATCTCCGATGAGATTTTTTCAAGCAAACTGCATAAAAAATACCCTATGCCATAAAAAAAAACCCTATGCCGTATCTCTTTACCACGCTTTCATATCATTGAAACAAAAAGTATTTGAACCCCACGCAAAACCCCGAAAACTTTATGACCTGTCACCATTGTTTGTCGGAAAAATATTCTGCTTCTTGAGAAAAAGGAAAATAAAAAGACTTCAGGAAACCGTTCGTTAAAAGCGTAACAGTCGGACATAAAAATAATACACGTGTATCTATTTGAACTTTCCATTTTTGGCGAACCGGAACAGGTCGATGCGGAGTGCGCATCTGCTCTTGTGTAATCACTCCCATTATTGCTGACTAACGGAAATGACCATTAATATTTTTCTGTCCCAGTATTTTCGACTGTTTCGTTTTCCTTCGTTGCTTTAAATCCCATCAAGATTTTTTCACTTTTATCGATAATTTAAAACTTTATTGTTTAACTTTAATGTTCTCTTTTGTCATTTTATGATATTGTGTCTACCATAAAAATCTGAAGCGAAACTATGTTCAAATATTTATTCAGATCATGGTCATTAAACTCAGCGGAGTGAAAAATTTGTACGGGTGACTACCTTGTTAAATCTAACGTCCACTTGTAATCATGTTACATGGTATACGTGCGGGCAAGCAGATCCGGTCCAGGAGCAGATAAAATGAGAGATCGAAAATATCTCGAAATTATATGCAAATTTTTATGCTGGCGTGGTGTTGTAAACTGTATAAAAGACTAGGCTACCTTCTATCTATAATTTAATCAGTTATCCTAGTATTCTGTTAGCAATTGAAGAAAACTTATACGAATTGCGAAAATCCCCCCGCGCTACCTTTAGAGAAAACTCCTTGTTCATGACCTGAATAAAAAAATGTGCAATAGAGTTATATGCATCAATTTGGCATCAAAAGCAAAAACAAATGTCAGCCAATTTCTTTGCTAATATTAACTTTAAAAGGATTTACTTGCAATATTACAAAGACAACCAAGCGTTTCTCAATAAACGCAAACGTTACTCAAAATATGCTATTCGACCGTTCTGCGGATAAAGCAGTCTTTTCGTGTCGAGACATCCCTGTTCGATTATCTATCGAAAACAACCTAAAAACGGTTTCTGCGACGTTCTAGCAATAAAAACGCAAATGATCCAGTTTCGGACAAATAAATTGCCTGCAACTAAAACATGGAAGCAAATATTGCGCTCCTAAAGGTAAGCGATTTGAAGTATTGCATTTTAATAAGCTTTCAAAACCAATTTATTTCCGCTTTGAAACTACACCCTTTAGGTGTTATTTATGACACCGTGAAACTATTTTGAGGCAATCGAATAAGAAAAAACAACGCTTCGCTGCTTTGATGGTTTTGAAATATGTTCGTATTGTTCAAGTTCATTGTACATATCAACTAGATAGCAGACTAGCGAGAAAATGCTCTTACACAATAAAACATTGGCTCTCGGCCATCAAGTTGCGGATAAGAAAATATGGTTTTTATAATTACCTTTATTTCAATGCCAGTTTTGGAAACTCAACCAAGCCGTTTACTCCTAATAATTCCCTATTTATTCAAGTAACTAGAAAAAATTCACGGTTTTATAAAGTTCGCCAATTCTGTCATCATATCGAGTAAAATATAAGGACAAGACAAGGATAGAGGTTGGAAGTGTCCAGTTTTTCATGGATCGTCTGCGTTTGAGTCCGAGCACTTAAAATACGGGTAGGCGGTGAGGTTTCAAACGGTAAGTCAAGGGCTACGCAAGCGGGTTCCGGATTCCTAAATATGTTGTTATAAATCCAGACAAACCAAGTGCGTTCAAGCGGCGAAGCCAGCAGGAGAACATAGAGTCCATTTCTCAAGGTGACCCGAATTCACAACTCGTTAAGAACTGCTAACTGGGTTTAGGAAATTAGACGACAAGCAAATTAGACCATCAGAAAATAGCGGAATTTAGACAATAACTTGCGTGCAAATTGCGTGAATACTGGTTGTCCGTAAACTCCGTTTTTTACGGTCGTCTAATTTCTTGTCTAATTTCCTAGGCCCCACTGGTAACATACTAGTATGGTTGCGTGGTTGCAAGTAGTTGTGTTTGTAACCTGCTGTCGCGCCAAAGGGCTCTTATCTTAACTCCGATCTGTATATAGCCCTGCTTGAGCCAGTTATGGGCAGACAAATAAGTTAATATTCCACTACGATCTAAACGTATCCTGGTAAGAGCGAACCCTGTAAACTAGCAATTTAACTGAGTTAGCAACATGTCACTAAGAACATACAAACTTTTCCTTTAACATCAACTAGCAGACCAACCGAAAAACCATAATTTCGAAAGCCGAAAAAATTGCAAATATTTAAAAACACAAATGAACGAAAATAACCCAAAATGAATCAATTTCAAACTGACAGTTAGGGTAACGTAAAGGCTGTCTTAAAAATTTGTCAGATCGAACACTTGATTAAATTAAACTTCGCGAGAAAATACAGATATATAATTCTTTCGATTTATTTTGTTTATGAGTCATAAAATATGGAAACATGTCTCAGTCTCTTACGCAAATAAGTTTTGGGTACTTTTTTGATTAGCCCTTTATTTGTAGGTGCAACAAAACTCTCCTGAGTACCATAGGAACAAAAAAGGTTTTCAAATGGACTTTCTAAATAGACGCAATTGTCCTACATTCCAAATCAAAATTCCCTGTTTTGGCAAAAAGTCATATGCAATTTTGAATTGTAGTAATGCCGACAAATTTCCAATATAAGTGGGGAGAGTTCAAACTCCATATTAATCCAATGTGTCAAAAGGAAATCAAATAACTCAATAGAAAAGCTGAGATTTGATTAAAAAAGCTTGATAAATCTCTTTATCTAGAAACAGATTATTATTTCAACAGACAAATGGTTCGGAAACCAAATAAGGTTAGTTAAATGAACCGTAAACAGGGAAAACAAAGAAGTCCACATTTGTTGGGAAACAATAAGACAGATTTGAGGTAAGTGTTCATACATTCTCTTTTAGCGCCAAACGATTCTTTTCGTGCCAAAAAAAAAACACCCAACTAATTATCTTTTGTTTTCTAAATTCACTAAAACACCAATTCGAAGCAGCGCTTCTCATACGATTATCAAGAGCTGATTCAAAAACTTAAAAAATTTATATCGTTTTTTTTTGTTTCAACTGCTCTTTTTTTTCCAACCCAGCGCAGCAGTCCATATATTGTCGCGAGTGGTGCCATCTTCAAGCCCTTTAAGTTGTATCTAGCAGTCGTTCACGTAAGTCACACATGAGGTTAAGAAAAATAGACTCTATAGCCATTGGCTCAAGGGCCAGAGACGCTATCTCTTGTGCTTTTGTACCTAAATCAGTCGGAGCCAACTCGGTTCACTTAGGTCATGAACTTTAGGGTCGTTACAGCCTAACGACTACTACCAAAATACCCCCACTCTAGATAGAAATAGGTACGCCCCATCGCTGGGTCTCTAAATATTTTGAACACGAGAATGCTATTAAAAATAGGGCTGGGAACTCAAGTAATTACTACTAGAGCGTTGAGAACATTTTTAAATTTAAGTTTCGAAAAAAAACCATTAAAATGTCACATCTCGAAATTTTTAAGGACTTGAGCAGACATATGTGGAGGCAAGATTCGCAAACTCCTCGAATGACCTAACAGCCACTAACTAAAGGGTTGAGAACTTCAAAATTTGAAGAAAAAAAAATTAAGTTTGCTAAAAATTTTTTGAAAAAAATCACAAAAACATCATATCTCGAAAACTAAAAAGATTTGAGCAGTCAAATTTGGAGGCAAGATTCGCAAACCCCGAGGGCTGGAAATTCAAGAAAAAAATAAAATTTAAGTTTTCTGAAATTTTTAACAATCACAAGCAACGTCATATCTCGTAAGCTACAAAAACTTGAACAATCGAAATTGGGAGATTGGAAGTGAGATTCGCAACCCCCGATATCATTCTGACACAGCCCAAATAGTGTTGGGAATTTCAATACTTGAAAACATTAAAATCTTGATAACTACAAGAGTTTGAGCAGTCAAATTTGGAGTCATGATTCGCAATTCTTGAGAGTACTCTGATACCACCCATTTACAGGGTTGGAAACTTCAAGTTTGATAAACTATTTTAAAATTAAGTTTTCTGAAAAATCTAGAAAAAATATTTCGTACAAAAATATTTTGGATTTGGGCATTCATAATTGGAGACCAAATTAACAACCCCTGGGGGAAATGTGAGGGCATCCCACTATTGTGTTGCTAACTTTTACCTCGATCGAACAAACACTAGACAAATTAAACATGGGGAGATTTGTGTCACACGCATTTAAATATAGTATAGATTAGTTTTTGTTGGACATTGAACATTTCGTCCATTTCAGATGGATCAAACTAGAACTCTCCTTATCTCAACAAAACCAGATAAAACGCATTCAAGAAATTAAATTCAGATATTCACGACATCTGGATAGCAACTCTGGAACTAATCTACTTGAAATCAAATAATTTAAATAAAACTCAATAAGCTTAATAAAGTAATACTCTTGATGTTTTATAACACTCAAAAATTTTAGACCGTCAGGTCAGTTGAGTTGGGAACTTTTATGTTGCTTCGAAAAACTTGAGCATGACAAGGCCAATTCGAAGTTTTGAAAAACGCATTTCAAACAAAAAACTTCTTGATATGACCGACTGGCACAGTAACTCAGATTCCAACAAAACATCCACATCGAGAAAAATAATTATCTGAACATTTCAGTTTTTCAATTTTTTGGAATAACATAAGCCAAAGACTAAGATGATATAACATAAGCCAAAATCCTCTGAAAATTTATAACGGAAACTATATAATCGCAACGTAATAACCACAGCAGCTAAAAATAAATTTTAATAAAATTGAACACAAATAGCAATGATTGCCTAAATTTGAATTTTTATGAAATTAAATATGTCAGCGAGTGACAAACATCTCAAGCTGAAATCCGTGGACAAGTGTTCAACAAAAACCCTAACACCCGGTTGCTTTAACTTTGCTTATCGCAAGAATTTGCTCTTTCTTTTTCATTGCCCCAGTCCTTTACTTCCTCGCCTTAAGAATTTGGGCCTCATCTTATGAGGAGATACATGTCATCAACTTTGCCCTAACCCGAACCAGCTTGTGGACCCGGATGACACTGGGCCACCTCCAACCGTGAACAAAGAGGGATTCGAACCCACAACATTCGCGTTAAGGGTAGCAGGAGTAGACGTATACAAAGACAAAAGAACGAGCAAGAGCCACACCCGATCCAACTTTATTACCCTTGCGATAGCAAAGGTATTCAAATCGGGTACTAGACTTTTTCCCATAAACAACTTTGTTCACAGATTTCAGCGTGTTACTCCAATAAATTCACAGTTCAAATTTTTTTTGTCAGCTTAGTTTCCGCTTTGTTTTTACCATCCCACTAAATCGCTTATTTGAACTTTAGTTTTTTAAAGAATACATAGGTGCTGTTGTGGTCTTGATTTACCTCTGCTGTTACTTTGTAATTTTTATAACCTTGACAGCGTATATATCTTTTTTTTCTTTCTATTTTTTCGATTAAAAACTTTCTTCTGCCCAAATGATTTCGGCCTTTATTATATCGGCTTATTGACCTAATTTCAAGTAATTCAATGGAAACATAATTTTTATGCTCATCTGTGGACTGAACAAAATGCAAAACATCATAATAGAAATTATAATTCAAATTTTTCATGAAAGTTTTTTTGTTCGAACTTTTTTTCCTTGATCGATTATCGTTGTATAGCAAAAAAGCCAATTTCTAAATTTTCTCAGTTGGCTGTATGAGTGCTTGAATCATCTTTATTTCTATCGACTAGCCAGTCGTCTTTCTAGTTTGAAAAGGTATTGCAATCGGGTACTAGACTTTTTCCCGTGAATACATTTGTTAACAGAATGGCCAAAATCCGAAAAGGTAAATTTAGATTCACTTCCTAATTATTTCAAATTTCTTTGTTTTTCCGGTACACTTGGTCTGGAGGTTAAGAATACGCCTGGGACGACAATGGTCCATAGGTTCGAATCTGACAGGACCTATATCTTAACAAGTGGGAAATATTCCGTTTCAAAAAAAAAAAAAATAGTCGGCCTGTTATTTGTCTGCTTATGTTTTGTCGGCTTTGTTGCCATATTGTAGAATTGTTGTTTGTTTTAGTTTTTTAG